TCAAATTAATTGTAAATGGGCATGTTCACAGAAAAAAATATCTGTTTCATAAACAGAGAAAATTAGAGTTAAATAGCAGGCTATGTTCATCTACCAGCTGAAGTCTAGAGCAGTTTACAAGCCGGAAACACAACGACAAGCCTAACATTCCCATCTGACTTACTCCTGTTCCGTGACCCCAGATGATTCTCCTGGGTGATACCAGGACCACCCAGAGGCTTATCTGGCCACAAGCTTCGAACTGTCTTGTTAAACTTTTATTAAGGTTAAAAAGAACCAAAAGAAATGGAATGTCTCCTCGTTTTTCACTCCCACTTAGGATAACTTATGTGCAGTTATAAAAGGAGGAGATAAAAAAGTAAACAAATGAGTCTCAGACAAATTCATTCCAAGACAAAAAAAATAAGAAACCAAACTCATATGCTGGCTGTAAAAAAATAAAATTTTGAGGAAATTTCAAAGAAAACTGTCTTTTATTATTTCTCTTTCACATCTAGCAAATTCTGTCAACTAGTACCAACCAGACCTAAAACTATTGTCTTCTTTCATTTGTCCCTCTCCTTCTCTACTCACATTTGCCAACTCCACCCACACTGCACTGTCCAATCGAAGGCCCTCACTACTTGATGTCTGCACTGCTAATAGCGGCTTCTTTATAGCCTGTGTCCATATCATGGCCTAGTCCCAACCCACCATAAACTGTCTTTACTTCTAGTACTTCCCATTTTGACCTTCCACTCCAATAATATCTTCCTCCTGAAGTTCCCATTCTACCCACATACACATACATTAATCTGCAGAGATGACTATGCCCACTTAATCTTTGCTTGTTCAGGCCCCACATGTCCTTGAAAAACTCAATCAAGTCTTCCATACATTCCAGTCTCTGTTGCTCTCTGTCAATTCCAAAATAGTATAGTGCTTAAGTACTATATGGTCTTTTCTTACTCAGTTATAGAAGCATCTCTCAAGGCTGAAAGGATCTTTAAAACGCGTTCAGCCTCATGCCACGTCCCTAGCAAGGGCTTATCCAGACTATGCTTAGATACTAATTGTCATTTTACTTCCTCCTGGCATAGCGCATTCTAGGTTTCAACAGACCTACAATTAGAAAGTTCCTCCTTATAATCAGCTTATTTCTCTCACCATATAGCTTTAAGATGTTAGTTATTATGGTACTTTAGTTTCTATAGAGAATAAATTAAATCCCTCTTGTATATTTCCAATATTCTAAGATTTTAAGAAATGACTCTAGTCTCCCACAAGTCTCAAGATTTATTTATACCATGTCTCTTTAGCCATTCTGATATCATTTTTTCAACTTTAGTCACTGTCCCAGTAATTATATGCTATCTTTTGTTATTGTAATATTTCAGCCATAAGGATAATGATCTAGAAAATATAAGAATTTTCACCAAGCCTAGACCAGACAATTTTTGCTATATCTTATTTCTTTGTTTATATTTATCATCATGCCCAATGTAAGCTAATCACATATCGCATGTTTAATGTGGATTTGAAATGTTTTCCTCAAATTAATTGTCAATGAATTGTCCACTATAAATTACATCTGTCTAGGCTTAGATTAATTTCTGCCAGAAATTTCCCCTCACTGTAATAAGTGCAAAGTATCAGATTTTGTTCTCAAAAAGAAATAGTAGCAGAGATAGTAAAATCTCTTGTGGAAATTAAATATGCCACAAACATCCTGCACTTCATATGACAGAATAAACAGTCATGGGAGCATCAGAAAGAGCTTTGTGAGAAATTAACTAGATAAAAATTGAAATAATATAGTGATTTATTTCACTTATTAAAATTTTTGTACTCACTTAAAAAAACATGCTTCTGATTTCCAATGCTACATAATAGTATTCATATGTATTATAGGAACAAGGCTATGACATTTGCCTGGATAGATAAAACAAGGTGTAGCCAGAAGATTCAGACCAACCACTTTCATTGACCCCCAGCTAACACCGGCTGGAACTACAAGAGATCAGCCACTCTCTGATTATTTTGAAGAGCCATTTGCATCTCATTTTACTAATTTTACTCTCCAACTATTACTCTCAATCCATCGCTTACATTACCTATTGCTTGATAAGGAATGACATTTCCTTAGGCTGAGAAACCAGCCACATCACACTATATTAGCCGAGACAAAACTCAGCAAGGGCAAAGCGCTGGCAGACTTTCCTGCTTTGGCAGGCCCACCGGGGTGGCGTGGTGCCAGCACCTGTGGCGATTACGGACAGATTGGCCCAGTGGCCACAGCTTGGACGGCACTCTGCATAGGATTACCAATCACACGTTAAACAGACTCATTTCAATTCACCGAAACAAATGTTGCCACCAAATCTGCCCGCACAATTCCCTACTTTCAATTGTTCCACGGTCGAATTTCTCTGTCCAATCCAATGATACATGCCCACGGAGCTCTGTAGTGATGGATGGAGTCATTAGCATTTTAGTTTCTACACTGAACCTGACGCCAAAGCATATGGTCTGACAGATGTTCCAGCAATGGGCTCTATTTGACTTGCCATGTAGGTGTCCACTTATACTGGACCTTCGAGAAAGAATACTAATTTATAATTTACAGTTCAACTCTTTCACATCCTCAAAAGCTACAACAAGTTCTGAAAACAGAACACTCAGACAAGACGGACAAAAATGTAAGTAATGTTTGCAGGCTACTTTCATCTCTGGTTTGATTAGTACTGCTAATAATTTGGATATTTATAAAATGTTTCATATACTCACTTTTCCCCTCATTCATGATTTATTAAGGTAAAATATACTGTATATGTATACAGTAAATTGGACAGATCTTAACTTGTGACAAATGTTTATATACCCATAGATCCAACACATCAATAAAGATATAAGATGCTTACATTATTCCTGACATTTCCCCCTGTCCACTTCCAGCCAGTCCTCATCCCCAAGAAGCAAATACGATTAAGGTTTCTATCATCCTACATTAGTTGTATCTCTTCTACAGTTTAATATACATGACATCATATAAAATGTTTTTCTGTGTGTGTCTGTCTTGAAAATGTGATGTTGCTGAGATTCATCCATATTGGTGGATATATCAGTAGTTCATTCTTTGTTATTACAGAATAATATCATTCCATCACTTGCTTATCCATTCTCCAGTTAAAGGACATCTGAGATCTTTACAATTTTTATAAGTACACTATTACAAACATTCTTGATCAAGTCTTTTTGTGAATACATGCCCTTATCTCTCTTGGGTAGATACTTAGAAGAAGAATTGCTGGTGCCATGTTTGGTATTAGTTTATATATTCACCTTTTCTTGCCATCACATTATTTACTATTCATATGAGTAAAAGTTGAAAGAAAAAGGACATAACTAAAAGTTTTAACCTATAAAAATGTCTAAGCTAATTTTTCTGTGAGAAAATTAACTGACACCTCTCAATAATATAATAGGATGATTTTATTATTTTACTCAGGAATATAGCCAGTATAAATTGTACATTGAAACCTGTCTCTTACCCTCAGCCATAAAGGTAATTCTCTACCATTGGAAGTTCCTTAGGAACACAAAGCGGCTTATTTCTTAAACTTGTTGTAAGAATTGGAAAAAAAATCGGTTCATGTGGAAAAAGATTACAAATCCTAAGTTGACAAAAATTGTTATATCTAGATATATGCTACTTCATTGAGCTTTATTACCAAAGAGGGATTTGGAAATTCTCTAAGAGAGACTAAAGACTGTATTCTACGGCCCTATCTAACTTGAGTGAACACAATTTTTAAAACTATGTTCCAGAAAGCATCATAATTTCACCATATTTCTAGCCTGTTGACCCTCATCAGACTTCTAAAAACATTCATTCATGTTGTTTTCTGTATACATGCTAAATGTACATAAGGAGGTCCATTCAGATTATATGTTTTGTTATCGTTTACTAAATGTACAGAATAAATTACCTACTTCTAAAACTCTATAATTATATAATCCAACATCTCACAGGAAAGCAATCTCTAAAGATACAGCCAGTACCACTATGATCGGCTTTATGAATTATCCTACATTAACTCAGATAACTCATTCTTTGCTTTTCTGTATCCCCATTTTTTAATTTACCTAATTTGTATGTCATTTTAAATAATAAAAATGGTTAAAATATGAATTGTCAAGTTAAGATAATTAACAAGTGGGGGAATTTATCCTCTATATGTATTTTCATAATAAATTTTTCTAAATATAAAACAGTAGCAGGCATTATGATCAGAATATTTCACAGACCTTGTATTGTGTTATTTTTCATGTAAAATAAAAATTAACTGCTTTTTTGTTTTTATTATTTTATTCCATATTTAGACAACATTTTACCAATTGTAGCACAATGCCATATAATATGTCATTTGGAGGACATAAAAAAGTTGATCACAATTTTTATTAGACCTGACCATAGCAGATGTAATAGCTACTCCCTTATTCCATTATTTCTTTGATAGGATGCAGTGACATTGCATTGAGTTGCTTCAAGTACATTCATTCCCAGTATTGTCAGCAGATATTTTAAGTAGTTGTTCTCACAATGATACTTAATTTAAGAGACATTTTCCCCATTAAAATCTAATAACATAAAAATCAGACAGTCTTCCAACAAACAAAAAAAGGTAATCAAAGCACTATTTCAGGCCATCAAAAATACTATAAGACCACCCTAGCTGGTTTGGGTCAGTGGGTAGAGCATCAGCTTGTGGACTGAAGGGTCCTGGGTTCAATTCTGGTCAAGGGCACATGCCTGGGTTGCAAACTCAATGAGGGGCATGCAGGAGGCAGCCGATCAATGATTCTCTCTCATCATTGATGTTTCTCTCTTCTCTCTTCTCTCTCTTCCACCCTCTCTAAAAAACAATGGAAAAGTATCCTTGGGTGAGTATTAACAAATAAACAAACAAACAAACAAAAAATAGAAATACTATAAAGACCGAGTTTAGCATCTTTAGCTGGAAGGAATTTTAGTCTCTACCCAACAACTCCTTTTATAGATAAGGAAACTACATAGTTCAATAAATCCTCTAAGCCAGCGGTTCTCAACCTGTGGGTCGCGACCATTGGAAAACACATATAGCATATCAGATATTTACATTATGATTCATAACAGTAGCAAAATTACAGTTATGAAGTAGCAACAAAAATAATTTTATGGTTGAGGGTCACCACAACATGAGGAACTATCTTAAAGGGTTGCGGCATTAGGAAGGTTGAGAACCACTGCAGCCCACACAATGAACTAAATTGTCAGAATTAAACAGTTGGAATTAAGGTTAGAATTAAGACTGGACTTCGTGATTTCTAGGAAGTTGTTGTACACCAAGCAAAAATGACTCGACATCTATTTGTATGGGCTGGCTTGTAGATTCATCATGGAACCAAGATTCTGTCTGCTTTATGATGTTTTTACTATTTTAACAAAAGATGAATACATTTTTAAGTCACTGGTCACTTTCTGATTGACGATTGTTATATAGGTATGATAACCAGTCTTATTAGTTTGAAAACATCCCTAAACTAAGTAGTAGATCATTTTCAATACTTTTTAAACATGGAAAATAATATTTTTTTAAGAGAGTAAGTTAAGGTAACATAAGTAGTATTATCGAGAAATGTAGAAAAGCTTTTTAACGAATAAGGTAAATATCTAGATTGCTAAGGAATCAGGACAGTCTCAATATCAAAATAAAAGAGAAATAGACAAAAACATCTAAACGAATGTAAAGAAAAGGAAGAGAAGAAAAGCAGAATTGAAGTTGAACAGAAAATTTTATATTCATCTTAGTTTGAAAAATAGCAGCAAGAAATTTAAGAAACTATGATGCAATGGGTCGATACATAAAATAGGAAACAAACAAAAGGTAAGCAGTATTTCGACTGCAGCCCGCTCAGATGGGCAGGGCCAGGATGACCGGAGCAAGAAGACAGCTGGTGTCTGAGTACACAAAACGCTTTTTATTCCCATGTCACATTAAATCCAGAGGCATAAAACCAGGGCAGACTGCAAGCGTCTATTTCCCCGAGGCAAGACTATATAGCTCACATTTAAAGTTAAATGCCAACTAATATTCCTACCTAAACGAAAATAATTAGCAAAATCATTACAAAATACGTCTAACAGTGTTTTTAATACTCTTATTTAGGCTGAGAGGGAGAAACTAAGAGGGACTCTGTCTTGATGTTTAGCTGATAAAACAAGTTGCATATTATACAATTTGCTCTCCAGGAATAATTCTCTTATATTTTAATATCTGGAGGGGAAATAAGCACAATCAGAAAAAAAAAGGGGGGGGGGCTTAATTTCCTTTTCACATATTCAGTATGGTATCCTGATACCTACAAATCAAATAATTTATCAAAGAAGTAATAATTAGATTTATATGATGTACATCTGCTATCCAATTATATTGTGGGAATTAGATGAAATGACACATTTAAAACATCTAGTATAATATCGGGCATTATACTAAGTATGATTTTAAAAATCTTTTATTGTAATCATTACCCAAACACCTGCAAACTAATGATTATCCTCAACACTAATTTCACCTCTCTAAAGACATAGTAAAATAAATCCTGATGTCAATGTTCAACAAACTAAGCTAATCTTACAATAATTTCTTTTTTGGTCTCTATTGGTATTCTGAGAAATTTAAAATACAGACTAATTAAATCTCTTTCTTCCCTCTTTCTGATGCAAATAGAAGCAAAATAATAATAAATGTGCTTAGAGAATATTATTACTTATATTTTAACTTCAAACTTTTTGTTCAACAGCCTTTGGGACTGCTCTTAGCTCTTTCCCCACCTCCCCTCACTACTCCCACTGCCCTGGAATGGACAAATAATTCCTCCAAAACATGGTACTTTCTTAGTCTATTGTTTTACTGCTGATTCTTTTACAGCTCTTTATACACCCCATTTATGTTTCCCTAACATGTATGCTAAATTACAGTTCATTAAATACATACTTATTGATGATTTAATATATGCATGGCAACAGTCTTGACATCAGATCTGTGATTAACCTTTATGCACAAGAATCATGGAGAAAAATTAATTGCTTCTCTTCCAGTTCACACTTCTAAGAATAATCCGCAAAGTGTCTTAAAATACTTTTTTAAAATATGCATGACAGTTCCTACTTAAGTTCTTGTTAGTTGAGTTTTCAAAATATTAAATGAGGAAATTTTCATCATGGTCCTATATAATGGATCTAGAAAAATTATTTTTACAATTTGTATGTAACATTAGGAAATCATTAGGTTTTCTTAGACACTAACTCAAGTATTTTTTAAACTATATCATGTTGTATTCATATTCCAAAAATAGAAATACCTGAAATGAATCTGCAGCCAATTAAACCAATACACACATTCTTTCTCTCTCTCTCTCTCTCTCTCAATACTGCATATAACTTTCTCATTTCCCATTTTCCAAATTCTGTTTTCCCTGCTCCACTGTGGCTTACCAAGAAAAGTCCATGCACAGAAAATAATGAGACCACAAACAGTACATTTGTGATTTTTTTTTATAGCAAGTGTACTCTTTAGCTCAGCTGCCAACTTGGGCTTACCTGCAGCCATAGCTTGTTATGCACAGCATCTCGCCCTGTAGCAATACACTGAAATGTGGCGTTCTGTCCTGCATTGACCTCTACGTCCCCCAGGCGGAGGAAATGAGGAGATTTATCTGTGAAGGCAGGGGAAAAAATTATTGTTTTAACACAAAGAAAACATTCCATGTTACTTTTTTCCAGGAGAAGAATGTTGTTGATACTTTTACCTTTGCCCAAGGTTCATAACATATGGAAGAAAACTGAATTTTCTCTGCAGTGGAAGATACCACTTCCTCTCTCACTCTCACAGCTCTTTTCCTCAATAGCTCTATCACCTATTGCTCCATTATTGCTAGAGCATTGCTCTATAGAATCAACACTCAACAGTTAGTGGGGAGGACTGCCATAGATTGTTCATGTGGGTATTAATAAAACAGTTACAAGTCAAAGCAAGTAAAGAGATCAAATAAGCACAAAACAGAGCATAATGGAAAAATATAATGAAAGCATATAATATCTAAATTACTGACATGCATGAGTGTTGAACTATTAAGTAACACTTTAAGCAGTTGGATCTTTTTTTAATTATTTCAATAGCTCTAACCCTGTAGTACTTCAAAGAACAAGGGAATATTTGTATTTCTCTCAAATAGAGTATCAGCTTAGCTACTATTAAATCCACTTCCTATTCCTTTATGTTCCTAAGAAAGTTACCCAAAAGAAATATTATAGCAACAGAAAGTGATGAGGGCAGTCAAAATATACTATACATGAATTACATGACAATCAAATAAGTGTTTTCTATAATGGCCATTTAAAACTGAAGCTTATTCATGTTTCCAACTGAGAGGAAATATAAGCAAGAAAAGCTAAACCTTAGTGACTAAAAGAAGCTCATGGAGGACCATGTCACAATGAAGCTGCTGTTGTACTCAATTCATATTGTTACTTGACTGGTGAATGTTTCCTTTAACACCTCTCTTTCAGCAAGGGTAAATGAACAGTAGATAGAAACATCATTCTGATATACTAATGAATTGGAAGAACTGAGTAAACCAGCTTTGAGTGTGATAATTGAATTCTTTTTCTGAGAACATGCATAAATCATTTGAGCTTTGTCTGCCACTCTTTTTCCCGAGCCCCATCTTGGTAGGCACTTCAGAAAGAGGGATACTGGAACTAGAACAGTGACTCTCAAACTGTGAGCTCTATACCAGCAGCACAGAGCACCTGGGAACTTATCAAAAATGCAAATTCAGAGGCCCCCCCAGGCCTGTAAATTAGAACAGGAGAGGGGCCAAGCAATCTGGGATTTGCCATACTCCATAGGGGATTCTGATGCAAACTAGGGTTTTACAAACACTCACCAGGAGCACAAGCCTTGACCTCTGGAACTTGGCAAGCTGCTTCTGCTGTGCTAGAGAATTTCTACCAAGAGGATTACTCTATAGATCATCTACAAGTTATGGGCCCTAGCAAATGCTGCTGTTGGGAAAGATAGGTAAAGTTTGAATTTCTGCAGCTGCATTATACCTGGTTCTACTGAATGCATGCAATAATTGCCTTTCAGGGAATGTAATGTAAACACAAATTTAGTTAGACCATTTGAAGACCAACCAATGAGTATGCAACATAACAATACAAGTTTATTTTCTGATTTCTATTGTTTTGTTGTTTAATATGGATTAAACAGCTATTTATGAGAACATAAAAATCTTAGTTCTAATTTTGGAATAAGGTGAACTAATTTATTCACTTCACTTCAAATTTTGACTTGACTGATCCCATAAGTTAGTGCGGCTTCTTTTCTATTTTCCTTTCAGATAAACTCTGATTTGTTATTCTTCTTGCTTTCCAGAAAACTTAATACCAAAAGATAGAACAAGTCTTACATAGAGTTTCATTTACATTTGTATTTGGTTCTCAGTAATTAATTAAAAGGATACTTTAATAGTGTATAATTAGTTACAGGGTGAAAAATATTTGATTCAAAAATCTCTAGATCAGTGGTTCTCAACCTTGGCTGCACATTAGAATCACCTGGGAATATTTTTAAAATTCTGATTTCTAGAGAACCAAGATGGCGGCATAGGTTAACGCCAGAGTTTGCTGCCTTGAACAACCACTTCAAAAGTGAAACTAAAAGACAGAACGGACACCATCCAGAACCACAGGAACGCTGGCTGAGTGGAAGTCCTACAACTAGGAGGAAAGAGTAACGCATACAGACACTCAGAGGAGGCGCAGTACTGAAGTCAAATTCTGAGGTGCGGAGTGCGCGGAGCGGGCTGGCCTGGCGGCAGAGGGCGCGGTTGGCGTTTTCAATCAGGAGGGAGGCG